TGCTGGCAATGTCATAACACCATTTCTTAAGGAATTTCTGCTAACAGTGTCTGAAGAGTCAGCATAAAATGCAGAATCACAGCATGTGTGCTGTTCTGTGATGCAATGAACCCACCTAACATGGGCTTCCTGCTTCATACACTTTGTCTCTGAACAAGAGAAGACTTCCCCTGTTGCAATACAAATGACTATAAAAACATCAACCGTCCAAGTATAAGACAGGGATTTGAAGAGTTACAGGTCCAGTCACAGATTTGGCTATTGTGTCCTGGATCTGCAACTCATGAGATCCCTGAAGCTTTCTAAGAAGACTCAATTTTCTCACTTGTATAACAGGAACTGCCTTAAAAATGTGCAGTGATGTGTCAGAGAGGAGAAAGAAGTCAACGAAAAGTATCTACTCACAGGAACAGAAATGACTGTTCCCATCAGTTTCATTTTCACTAGTGCACAGCCCTGGATGCTTAGGAGAGAAGTTGAGGGAGACAGGTAAAAAGCAAGGAAGCAAGAGTGACAGATTGGGTTCACCTCAGGCATCAAGTGTCAGAGCTGAGCAAAGCAGGACTGTGTATAGTTTGGGCTTGTCGTTTTTACTAATAAAACTATACAAGAGATGAAAATATGAGAGTTTATTGGAAAGTATGTGAAAATGAAGAAGTAAATCCCTTAAGAGGGTCACAAATTAGTTTGGAGTGTCATTTTTACCTCGAACCAACTGACCTTTCTTTTATCTCATAATGTCTTAAAGAAAACACACAAAGAGGGATGGGGAGAGAAAGGGAGGGAAAGGAGGAAGAAGGACATGGAAGAGAGGGAGAGATGGAAAAAGGAAAAGAAATGGACAAAGAGCGAAACAAAAAGGAAGGAAGGGAAAGACTTTTCAATACTTCCTAGCATTTATTGCTCAAATGTCAGATTACCTTGAAGATGCTAAAAAGGAATTGTCCATTTACTCTCTGGATATTGAAACATGGAAGCAGAAGTTGCCCCAGATGAGATAATGGGCAACAAACTCCAGCAAAGAGGTATCATATCTGGATGGAGGCCCCAGTGTGTGTTTTCTGACCTGAGCAAGACTACAGATACTGTGGTTTATGGTGACTATTTGCAGTCTCAGTGGACCTGAGGGTGCCATTTTCAAAGCTCCTCTCTAACCAAAGGTGCCGGGGCATCTATTCCCCAAAGCAGCTCAAATCTTCAAGGCACACACTACCATCAGGGATGTCCTGACCCCGAGAGCCAAAGCACATCTCATCCTTGTCCTACTGCATTTCTCCTTATCTCTGGGAGGGCTCAGTCTGGGATCTTAGGGTCTGACCTCTAGGGGGCTCAGGAATTCTTCTAAAATAACATCTAAGCTTATTATGGTCACTAAAGCACTAGAGAACCAGGGCCCTGGGGGACCCCAGACAGAATCAGGGACGAATCAGGGGACCATGTCCAAAGTGACACTTTCAGAAGTGCTGTCTTTTTGAAATCAAAGTCCCTTCATGAATGAGGCTGGAGCTGGCACAGTAGAGAGATGATGAAAAGTGATTCACTGATTACATGGAGGAGTTTTCAGGGATTTCCTGAAAAGCAGATTTAAATGTACACTTGCTGGGTGTGCTGGCTCATGTCTCAAATACCAGCGCTAAGGAGGTTGAGGCAGGAGGATCACCGTGAGTTCAAACTCAAGGTACATAGCAAGACCCTGTCTAAAACCATTCTTAGAGTGGTGACAAAAACACTAACCATAAACAAGTCAACATTTGACTATGTCTAGCACTGTGCATACAGCAACCCTCTGCACAAATTCTGCAACCTTTCTGCAGTAAAAATTTAGTTCAAAATTAAATTTAAAAAAATTTCAAAAAAACCAAAGCCAAGTGTGGTGGCACAGACCTGTAATCTCAGCATTGAGGAGGCTGAGGCAGGAGGATAGATAAGTCAAGGCCACTCTAAGATACATACAAAGTTCAAGGAAGCCTGAGCTAAGTAGTGAAAATCTGCCTGAAAAACCCAAACAAGCCAGTCATGGAGGTGCATGCTTGTAATCTCAGAACTCAGGAGGCTGAGGCAGGATGTTTTCCATGAGTTCAAGGCTAGCCTAAGCTACAAGTAGTGAGTTCAAGACCAGCCTGGACTACATAGCAGGACCCTATCTCAAAAACTAAACAAAGAAAAAAGAAAGAAAACCAACCAAACAAACAAAAAATTAAAACAAAATATGTATACATGTATGTGTTGGTCACAGATAAGAAAAATGATGCAAGAGATGACCTATGCAGCAGGTGTATGAGACTGCTGTCAGTGTGACATGGCATTGTAGATCATGGTAAACTTATGAATGGGAGCACATTCTGAAACAGCAATAATGTGGGTACTACAGTATATATACCCGCCAGAAACAAAGATGTTCACTATCATTATCAGTGTCATACACTGTATATAACAACA